GTCGACGCCGCTTTAGATCGAGTAACTTTCTCATTTTCTTTCTTGGATTTGCCTATGGCTTTGAGTTTGCTACCTCTTGTTGGAGAAAAAAAAAAGAATTTTTCATGGCTTCCAAGCAGTTTTCTGACTCTTGTTGGAGGAAAAAAAAAATTTTAATTAAGAATTCGTCCGAACCCAGCCTGTTGTTGGAGAAAAAATAAATTTTTCAGCCTAATGTTTTCATGTTGCTTGCCTTCTTGTCGTTTTGCTTCATATGAAATCATTAAGAGATCATGTGTGGTTATGTCAAAACTTATCGATTGTGATTACTGATTACATTTCTACTACATTTGCTTTTCTGCAATTGTTTCTTAGCAAAGATTTTGACTTCTAGACCATTTAGGGAGGGAAAAGATATTGGATGGCAACGATCTGTTCTATTATACATTGTTTTTGTCGATTTTACGCAAAGTATTTCTACTTGATAATTTCTCAAGGAAGGCCTCTGGTTTCATTACCACAAAAGTTTTAATGCAGGAATTGAGATTCTGCTTTTTTTTTGGCATCTAGGTTAAGGCAAACTAATACATATTTCATACATCATATATTTATGCAAGGCTTGAACTTAATATTTCATAATTAATTGTTACGTTCCCAGCCAACAACAGATAAAAGGACAGCAGACAAATGAGATACAAGTTAGATTTAATTTTTGTTTGATCAGAAAAGTGAAGCATATTCTTTACTTGAATCTGTGCAAAGTATTCTCAATTGTAAGGTTTTTGCTTTATTATATATTTTATTTTTTTATAATGATTCTAATGATTTAAAAAAAAAATTAAAACCGTCGATGCCGGTTCTAAAATCCGATAAAAACTTTGAGGGTTTTTTTTTTTACTTCAATATTTTTTGGCCCCATATCAATAAAATCCTGGCTCCGCCCCTGCGCGCTATGGCCTCTTATCGAAATGACATTTTCTGAAACTGAGCCAACTAGCCTACACTGAAGTCATAATTAGCTTTTATCAGGGTTGACATTGAATCGTGTTTGTGAAAGTTGGACAAGACTCAAATTCAAAACAAATGAGTTTAATTTGTCGAAATTAAATTGTATTTCTACGTGACTCGAATAGAAGAGTCAAGTAGAAATGAGTTTTTGCAAATATAATAATCGAAATAGATGTTAGGATCGGGGAGGATGATCAAATCTTTACCCTTGACAATAATAAATATAATAGCTCGAAACGCATTACGAGCCATTTTTTTGTTTTTTTAACAAAAAAGAATAATTCATTCCATAAAAAAGAGCGATTACAAGAACAAAAAAGCAAATGCAAAAACAAGAGAAAATAAACAACCCCGAGGGCTCAGTTGAAGGCCGAGACTACCAGCTTCCCATAAGACAAGCTCGGACCGTCGAATTGGAGAACCAAAAAGCGAAGCCACCATCCTACGAGTTCAATACCAAGTTTGCCACGAGCCTAGCTGATGGAAAAGCAAGCCCCAACCACATCATTGCTCAGCAACCAACAACGAAAATAATAAAACAGAGATCTCCAAAAGCACTGAAGCCCACTGAGAGTACCAAAACGAGAGCACACACCATCACCAAAAGGATCACCCTACCAGTCCAGAGAACAGATATATTGTCCAACCAACCAAAATGCCACCCAAAAAGAAACCATCACCGACCACGTCTACCCCTTCCACGAGCCCTACCACAAGAGGCAACGGATACAAGAGGTTTATCTCGCAACAGGGAAAAGAATTGCCCGGATCCACATCTCCATACGATTCAAAAGACTCAGAATCAGAATAAGTCGAGTCTTGTAGCCAATCTAATTGCACGCGAACATCCAATCCTGAATTGTCTCCCACTTGATACATTAAACTTGGAGGATCAATTAACGTAACAGGTACATCAACAAAATTGTTATTAACTAAACAGTCATTCCTGACTGGAGGCGAACTGGAATTAGGATGCACCTCACCAACCCCCTCACCCAAATTTTCAGTCGGAAGAATAGAAGACTCTTGAGGGCAATCCAACACAACAGGCTTAAAAGAAATTTCACCCAAAACAGCCGGGGCAGACACCACCGACACCAAGCGATCAGCACCACCATTATTATCTGCACTGAGACAAGTTCTAGGGGAGACCACAAAGGGGTCTAAAATACCCGAAATGGAACCAAATGGGAGAAAGGGTAAAGCATCGGGGGACAAAACAACAACCCCATCACCAGCAACAACCTTACCACCCGAAAGGTTCACATTATTTTCCAACTCAATTTCCACATTCTCAACGGTTAAATTAGCTTGATGGGTATCCAAATCAACCAACTGAACTACAGGCTGCGCACCCAAATCCGAAGATGGAAGAATAGGTTCGACAGGAACAGCCTCAACATTAGAAGAAGGGAGAATTGGATCCGAAACATTCAAATCCTTCTTAGCAACCTTAGACGACACAGTTAAATCAACCTCAGGATGGAAATTACCAGACAAATGCCCAAATTTTTTACATGAAGAACAAAAGGAAGAGAAACCCTCCATAATAACATGTTGAACATACCCAGAAGAATCAGGGCCTAACCAGACACGATCGGGATAGGATTTAGTAACATCTAATTGCACTAACACACGAGCAAGAGATGGCCTAGACCCAATAGCAGTAGCAGTATCGATTTTGAGGGGCTTTCCAAAGATTAAACCCAAGCCATGAAGTATGCGGTGAGAGAAGAGATGGGGGCGCAGCAGAGGGAAAGACACCCAAATGGGTACAACCGACGACTCCACCCCAATGTCCACAGAGGGCAGCCATTTGGTGAGTTTCATAAAGCAGTTATAAACTAAATAAGATCCATGGCAAAAGACCCGACAATAATCAAAATCATTTTTAAGCTTAATTAGGGTATGAGACGTGTTTAGCAACGTGACAGAAAATTCACCATTCAATCGTAGATTGAAGAAAAACTGACGAATAGAGTCCAAAGAAGGACATTTAGAAGGAAAAAATCTGACCAGAGAGAACTGAAAAGGCGCGGCCAGCGCAGAGATTTCTTGTTCCGAAATCCAAAGAGAGGGAATACCACGAAAAGAAGAAACCCTAAGCTCCGAAAAAATGGGATCATCGTGCTTACCCGCAAGTACATCCAAAAATGAACAAGCATATGCAGAAACCCCTTAAAAACCAGGGTCACATAACTTCGGCGGCATGCCGGTAAGCGTCGGGCAGAACCAAAACCAACGAAAGCCAAAAATAAAAAAACACAGAGAAATAAGAACTTCCCTGAAGGAAAGAGGAAGACGACGCCACCACGGCGAGGATCCCCAATCACAGAAATCACCGGAGACGGCTAGGGCAAAAAGCCCTAGCAGAGCGGAAGCGGGTTTGGGAGCATAGCTTTTTTTTCAAAACACAGAATGATTCCATTACGAGCAATGTGTTCATCTCTAAGCCCACTCGAAAAAAGGCTCAATTAAAAATAATAGCTTATAATTCTACTCAAATTTTTAATTTTAAATTGGCTTAAAAGCTAATCAAGATTTATACAAGCCTCTAGTTTCTAATAAAATTGTCAAACATAGTGCTTAAATTATTAGAGTTAGGCTTCACGTGGGACAGTTTTCTTCCTGCTTCTTAAAGCAGCGTTTTAGTACAAAAATTTAAATTTTTTTACTAGAAAACTGCTTTAAGAAAAAATAAAAAAGCCGTTCTAAACAAAACCCTAGTTTCAAGATAAATTTCAAATCAATTTTAGTAGAGATTAATGTATAATGTAATTATTATATAAGTAATAAAACATAATTATCTGGGTGATCCAATTTCATATTTATGCTCTATTAGAATGAGCTACAAGAGAATTTTTAATGGCTATAAAACAATGATATTTAAGTTTCATTTGGGGCGATTTTTTAAATGCTTTCTAAAATATCTTTTTAGTATAAAATTTTTTATTTTTTTATTAAAATATTGCTTTAAGAAACAATAAAAAAATTATCTCAAATGAAACCTTTATTAAAACAGGAGAATGAATTATGATTTCACAAAAGCATATAAACTCGTTGTAGCAAATATATATAAATGAATAAATTAATAATATTAAAACCTTTCAAAAGGAAAAAACCTGAAAGATTTTGATATAAATTTAAGTAAAGTTTACCATATAATAGGTGTCATGGATGAACATCTTAGAAATTACAAAAATAAAAAAAAAAAATAAAATCAGATTGTTAGCTTAAGAACATAAAAAATAAGTAAAATTAGACCTCCATTGGATTTTGAATTATTAGGTCCTCCGACCGGATGTTGGAGCTAAAATCACGCCAAAAAATGATAAATACCGAGCAATACCAAATAATAACGAGGAATACCATCATGTGAAGACCCAATACCGAGCTATACCGAGTTATACAAAAAAATACCGAGTTTTTCCTAAAAAAAAACTCGATATTTTTTTGTATAACTCGGTATTGCTCGGTATAGCTCGGTATTGGTCTTCAGAGAACGGTATTCCTCATTATTACCAAATAATACCTAGCAATACCAAGCAAATACCAAATTTTTTGACGGAATTTTAGTGCCAACCGGACATTCCTCTACGCCCGGTCGGAGGACCTAATAATTGTTCCAAATTTTGATTTTGATAAATAATTCCATTAAAAAATTACTGCAAAAATTTTAGAAAAGTTACAAATAAGTACATAAATAAGATGAGGTGCGCACATAATACTCCAGTACTACTAGATTTTTAAAAACCTGAAATTCTATCTTTATATTTGAAAGATATCATAATAATAATAACAAACAAATTCATATTTACATACAACCATCTAACCCTTAAAATTTCAACTAAAATAATACCAAAAAATTTCAATTTCATTGTGAATCTTAACACCAGAAGAAAATGTAATTAAAAAAATAAAACACTAATTTAATACATAATTAAAATTGGAGAGCTCTGCAAAAAATTACCTCAAGAAAGGAACCATGAATGTGGCTGCAAAGATAACAACAATTGCCCTAAATCCAAAACAAAAAGAATTTGCATTTTGGATATACTCTGACTCTAAAGTTCAATTATCTTACTCTCAAAGACTTAGCATTTTAATAACATACATCGTTCAGATAAATAATAACCTTATCCTCAAAGCCTAGCACTTAAATAATCATTAATATTTTACAAATGAAAAGAAAATAAAGAGGATGGCAAAAAGAAAAAGGGCAACGGTAATAAACCAAAACCCTTTTGCAGCTGTGATTTCATGGAAAAGTAAATTCAGGTTCCATATATATGTCTGTGAACAGGCGCATCGAAGTTCTTGAGAACATCCACCCATTGCTTCTCTAATACAAACACAGAATTTTCTGATAGATGGCCGACAAAAAAAACTGGATCTTTGAAGGCACAAAACTCGAAGTTCCTTTTCTTATGGAAACTGATTTCTTGATCTATTTTTTTCCTCTTTCTGTTTGCCTTTGCGTTGTTCGAGATAACTTGCTCATCATCTTCATGAATTGGCATCCCAAAGTCAATCAAGCACATAGCCCTGCATAAATACAGATATTACAAGCACAATAATTTTAGTGTAACAGGTAACTGTAAATCAGGAGAAATTATTCTGTGTGGAGTCCGGTCAGAAAAAATCGTGTCCCGACGGTTCTTCCGACCGGACTCTACACAGAATAATTTCTATAGGTTTACAATACAAATTTGTACAGTTTATCAAATTTTTCCCGTCCAGACGTATGAGTGTACACACTATGTACAAATTTATACACAATATATATCAAATTTTTTTACACACTGTGTACACTTAAATGTCCGGACGGCCAAACGGTTCTTCCTATTCGGACTCCGAACATAATAATTTCTTTTAAACTAGACCTCATAACACTTGCCTCGTGTTATGAGAGGACGGTGTAAAGTAAGCTAACTCGAGTGTTGAGCTCATAAATGTAATCAATGTCAACAAAAAATTGACAACAATTCAAAAACTTGCCCATCTGACAATTTTAATACCATTTTAGGCCAGAAATTTGACCAACTATTCCTAGCAGTGTTGTTTAGTGATGTTTGATAAAAGGAAGAAGCATAAAGCGCGTGAGTACTGCTGCACTCTTCAAATAGATTCACATTTAAAATACTGGTTTCATTGTCACTGTTTCCATACTTACGTGGCCAATCAAAAAAAGTGAGCCCTATATACAGATCATTTTTAGAAATACGAATCAAGAAATCATCATTTCAGGTGAATTTATTTGGAAGTGAAAAATTACTCAGAACAGGTCCAAGACATATGAACATTTATAAAACAACATTTGTTAGCAATGCTGGGTTCTTTTTTTTTTTCAGATACGTTGGGCTTAAGCACAGTTCAAATAATTTATGAACCGTTCATTTCAACTTTTCATTTGAAACTTTTGAGAATTTGAAAGCATACAGATTTAACCCGCTCAGTATGATTTAAAACATAAGCGTGACCAAAACCATATCACGCTTAAAGAGGTTTTGGAAATTCTTATCAATAAAACCAATAAGAAGGGAAAAGTACCTTGCACTGTAGATCATCACTGATGTTGAATTAGAAGGTGGAAAAGATAACCCTAAAACTTCCCCTGGAAAATCTTGAAATCTTCTAGGCAAAATGTTCTTGTGGCGCCTTGACCATTCACCTAATTGCTTTGCTTCCACATCAAGAACATAAATCTGGTTTAAAGATGTCGTAATGACTAGCACATTACTATTACTTGGAGGAAAACCTCCAGCAGTGACAGCGGCACCATCCAATCGAGAAATAAACCAATGTTGCCTGCAAGTGATAAGACAAATAGAGCCATCAAAACAACTTTATGAAGGGCCTATGCATAGGGAAACGCAATCAAAACTCTTACATGCTACAAAACAGAAAAATAAACGAAGGTAAGAGCTAATACTTGATCAAGCAAACAAAAATACAAATTCATTGCAGAAGGGTTAATAACAAATATCAACTAGAGAAGGCTGTGCTCTCTTACAATAGAAAATGAAGCAAACTTGATGGAACTAGAGACAATTTTAACATGCAAATAAGAAAGTTATAAAAAAGGGCCAATAAAGTACCGCAGCGGTATTATTTTCCATTTGATAGCTAAATAACAGCAGCAGCATTATTTTCAGCTTTCATGTAAGATTTCTTCATCACTTCAATTTTTTTCATTACCCATCCCTGGAAGGAAAACCACGGTATGCATGCATTGCAAGCCATCTACTTTCCCACTTTTAATGCAATCTAATATCCGTCAAGTTAAGATGCAGATTATTACCCATTTCTAGTAGACATTTGATACATATTTAAAATATGTTCCAAGTCAAGATTTCCCTTTAGATAAATGTAGGATGAGATGCCCAAAAACAAGCATATAAAAGATACAAATTCCCAATCCATCGACTCTTATTTTGGAACAAACTTTACCGCTTCTGATGCTAATTGTAAAAAAAAAACATAAAACTCACTCAAAAATGATGATTTAAAATTAATCAAGGCATAAAATTAAGCAATAAATCTTAAGATCAAATAAAAATCACGCAACAATGAGAAAATTTAAGCCACAATAAAAAATGTCAACTTGTAGCAGATTTGACTGAATCTCAACCGAGCATGCAAAACCATCCATAGAATAAGTAGATGAAAAAGAATAAAAATATAACTCACCAAACAAGGCTCAAGCCTTGCATTGGTATGACGAGATATCATTCCCTGTAAGTTGTCATCAGCATTTGCATCACACTCAAAGAATTCTTCCCGTCCAACCACGCAAATGGAAATGTGGGCGAAAATCTAAATTTTATTAAGGATGAAATTTTCCATCCCATAGGAGCCCAATTTATAATCATAAAAACCCCAAGATAAATTCTAAAAAAATCTAAGAAAAACCCATAATACTTTCCAAAAATCTTCAAATTTCAACAATAATTAATAAATTTTGATTCAGCTAGAGTGCAAAAATTAATAAGAGTACACATTTTAGATATCTTGGGTTTATTGTTCAGAGTGATAGTGAAATAGATGGGAATATCATTAGTAGAATTCAAGTTGGATGGTTAAAGTGAAGGAATGCATCAGGCTTCTTGTGTGATAGAAAAGTCCCCCTCAAACTTAAGGGAAAATTTTATAAGATGGTGGTGAGACCTCCAATGCTTTATGGTGCAGAATGTTGGCCATTAAAAGAGAAGCATAATATTAAGATATGTGTTGCAAAGTTAAGGATCCTTAGGTGGATGAGTGGCTTTACTCTTAGAGATAGGATACGAAATGAGCATATATGTTAAAAAGTTGGAGTAGCTCCAGTGGAAGATAAGATTAAAGAGAGTCGTCTTAGATGGTTTGGTCACATAAAACAACGGCCTTCCAATGACCCGGTTAGAAAAGTAGATGTACTAGGTTTGACCTATGTTAAAAAAGGTAGATGTATATCTAAAAAGACTTTGTTAGAAAATATTAGAAATTACCTTTCTTTTTTAGATTTAAATGAGAACTTGACTCTTAACATGATACAATGGAGAAAAAGGATTCATGCAGCCGACCCCACATAGTGGGATAAGGGCTTGATGTTGTTGTTGGAAAGTGACGATTCCTTCATATGGTACTAAACCTATGATCCCAAAATCCTGATTCCCGATAAGTGTGCTCATCTCAACCAGCACAATTTCTATTTCTAATGAGAAAAAGTTTCAAAACTTGCATCATTATTCCCTGGTTGAAATTTTTTTTATATAAGCAAATCAAACATTTGAATTTCTCTAAGAAAAATTTGGGCATAACTGATATGTTTTTTGTAGAGTAATCCATGAATCATCACAAATAAGTTGGTCATACCAATGTAAAGCATACCTTCGATATGTGCCATCAGTGGAAGACAAAATCTCACATAATATTAGGAGGGTGCTTTTATAATTAATTTTTATTATTGGGCGTGCTTTCTTTTTCTTCATTTAGGGGTAGAGTTTGGTAATTAAAATTATCCGGATGTTAGGCAAAGAGGCCAGCCTATTTATAACCCATCTCTTTAGAAAGAAGAGGGTTTTTATTGAGTTCATTTCCAAGTTATCCTGAGTTTGGAAGGAGTTCCCTATTATTGGAGTGGGAACGGATGACGAATGTAGTGGAGTTCGGAACTCCACCACAATTGATCACCGGAGACCGTAGACTCTCTACCTTGGCCTTCCAATGCTTGGCCATTGAGTCTAGCGGTCGAAGAGGGTGGCCAGTGGCTGTACAGGCAATCTCAAGGGTTGGCAACTTTATACAGCAACAAAAAATCCTCAGGACAAGAAGTAAGAGGCAACTCTAAGTAGTTGCAGGAGTCAAGCAAGAGGAAGAAGGCTTTCAGAAACAATAACAGAAGTTCTTCTAGGCAGGCTGCAGAAATTCCAAATTGTAGCAGCAGACAACAGGAAAAAAACAGAGAGCAACAATTGAAATCTGGAACGGGTAAGCTAAGATGTCAGGGTATGCATTCTTGTTTATTTTTTTGTATGTTCTTGCAGATTGATGTTTCTGCATTAAGGAAAATGCTGGGTGGAAAGAAGATTAAGTGTTATAGCAGTTACTTGGAATCATTAGCAGCCAACAAGAACCAATGGGGTAACTAGTGCTGAAAGAAGTTGCAAGGAAATCTAATGCCGCAGTGTTTCTTCTAACTAGGTTCTCTATTTTTCTTGTCCTATAGGTTGTATTTCTTTTATGGAATAGTTGCCCTACCAATTGTTTTCCCTTGAGTTCTTATGGAATTCCATCCAGTACTTGGGCTTCAACTAGAGCTAGCGCCACTTGAGAATACTGACAGGGAACATGACATGAATGAGTTAACTGCATAACGAACTACAACACCTGGACAGTTGATTTGGCAATCTGCTTTGGACTAGGAACCCACGTGGATAGTAAGAGACGAGACAACTAGTTTACAATGCAGAATATCCGGAATTAATTAGGTGGGATCTATGATAGTGGCACAAGAATCCATGCAACATGAAATCCATGTTTCATACCTATAGGATCACTGGATTAGTCTCCACGTACTTATGGTACATTAAAAATATCATAGTCCATCAGAAAATGTGATTGCATACAATGTTGTCTCAAACATTGCTCAGGGTTGGTACGAGTAATATATAAAACAAAGGGCAATTCATGCCAAAGTTTTTTCAACCTAAATTTTTCTTTAAACATGTAAAACAACAGCAAACAAAATAAAATATGAGAGAACCACAATGGTATACATTAAACATGCCTTTGTTTGCAAGGCCACTAGTGTGAAACGTCAGGAGAAAGAAGCTTGTAAAAGAAGTATGTGATTTACCATCAGTATGTAAGAAGTTGTTAATAAAAAAAGAGAGATCCATGATCCTCACTAAGTACTGAAGTAAAGGCAAAATATACCTGTATGTCTCAAGATTAAATACATAAATATCGCCAAAGCAATTGACAGAAGCTAGCCATTGCCCATCAGAACTTGTAAACATCCTCGTTATAGGAGGTTCGCAAGGTATTGAACTCATATGTCCCTCCTTTCCTTGAGGCAAAAATGTATGCAATAGTTCCAAACTCTTCAGGTCTAAAACCTAGTTCTCCAAAGAAAAAATATGTTTAGGTACAGATAAATACCAGCACATTAAAAACATACAGAAACATAAAGTTGGGTATTATACAGTGAAAAATGAAAAACAACAAGCTGTTTTCAAAGTTTCAATTACAAAAAAAAGTTCAATAAAATTTTGTGTTTAAAAAAATAAAATAAACAAAAATCAAAAAGAGTGATTTCCATTTTTTTATTCTAGATTAGTAGATCAGTACAACAGCAAATACACTAAACAACTCACATAAATTTTCTTGTCATGGCCAGCTAACATCAATCTTGTGGAGTCAACACTGAAAACCATGCAATGAGCATATGGCAATCGCCTAGGCAGCTGTAATTTGTTCACAGACCAACCACTTCTGGATTTCAGCTTCTTTATTTCAAAAATGCAAGGTTTCACATGATCAGAGTAAGCAAAAAAATTGCCAGTATTTGATATGGTGCTAGAAATGATTTTTCTAGATTCTTTACTTTTAACATGGGCTATAACTTGTGTGGTTTCTTTGCTTCTAAGTGGTGCACTGGACATGCCAGGATGATTTGATTTTATAAGCAACACATCCAGCTGTGCACCGTGTTGAGCAAGTAACATTGAAGCTCCATCAGCGACTGTCCTAGACGCCATTTGCACAAGTACCCGTTGAGGTGCCAGACAGATATCATGAGGAGAGTAGTGTGTGAACTCTCGGGCAGAGTAAGCAAATAACTTGGAATCATCACCTCCAGAAATAAGCATGGGGACGCCTAAGTGTGCCCATTTATGGAAAGTAAAATTAATAGACCTGTCCCTATGCCGGACATTGCTGCCAGATGACTTCTCATTAGGAAAAGAAACTGTCCAGAAAAAAAGGGTATCATAGATATGTAAACAAGTTCTCAATGATATACTAGTAGTTCAATGAAACAGACCTTCTGAACTAACAGGAACAGCCACTGTCAAGGTCCTCACATCATGAGTATGAACTCTAACGTATCCAACATATATCCAGTTGTGAGTATGATCTACAAAAGGTTCAACTTTATCCAGATCAACAGCATTACTGGAGCGCTTATAAAGAATCACCTGAATTCTGTCAAACCATTAGTAGGCACACTAACAAGCAAAGGTTGTGCGTAAAAACTTCTGAAGTGGAAAGGCAAATTTCAATTGCCCATCTGACCAACCAGCATTTTAGTAAATATTACAAGACCTATTTAATTGTCCAAACCAAGAAGTAAAAGCTTAATAAAAAAAACAATATTAGATATATTTGCTACATAAGATGATTAGTTAGCATTACAAGTACAGTGATATAATACCTAATTGGAAGCATTATGGTGGCACGTAATTAAAAAAAGCTTCTTACAATAATTAAGAAAATTAAAAAATAAATAAAACAGTAAGGCAGAATAAAAAAAACTCCTAGCATCATAATTCACAAATTGATTTCAATATGATTCAAGTTTCAAATCATATAATAAAATGACCATATGAGAGAAACTATTCATCTACACAAATTTTCTATGACCAAAAGAATTATAATTAAGCTTATGTACTCATAATCATTGAAATTAATCTCTACAAGAAAAAGATGATATATATATATATATATTGCTGACTATGCTCTAACAAGTGATCAAACTCAAGTGAACATTCTTTTCTGCTAAAATTAAGAATATTCTGTAATCAAAAGCAGATCAAGACTAAAGAATTCAAAGCATACAAGCAAAGGACAAAACAAATCTCCTGTATTCTTGAAATTATCATTTGAAGTCTACATTATCACCATAAATATTACACCAACTACCGGCAGCAAACCTCATGAATCCATCTTAACTGCTTGTTCATGCTCCATGTGGCATTAAGCCTTGTGTACAAAGTCCTCATAAATCCTAACCATACCACTTCTATTTAATTGATCTAACTAACCTTTTTTCCCTGCTATTAAAATTATTCTTGTTACTTGCTAAAAAATTTGTGTCCGTAGAGTTGGTATTTTTGTATCTTAGTTTTAGACAAAAAATTCAGCACGCACAATAAAAAGTTGTAGAATACCATTTTTTTTTTTTTTTTGTGGAAAACACTAAAAGAGAAATAATCACAAGATATAGCCCAATTGAAAATTTCACTATATGTCAAGAGATACAAGAATCTTCCCTTCCTCACATTTGAAGAAGAAATGACTATTTGAAAATAAAATGTTTCATTTCCTCTGTGAGGATTATATAAATAAGATATCTACAGATAGAAAGTTAATACCCAACAATAGAGCTAAATCTTGATAAGAGTTTCATGATAGGGGCAGCAATTGTTTGAGATGATCAAACAATTAAATAGCACTCCATCATACAGTTCATATTGATTCCTTGAATCATGAAGTGTTTACTCAATAATAAAGTGTCATAAGGATGTAAGAATTGAGTAATCTCGATCTCGGTCCCGTTAGATTCATCTCGTTAAGCCACTCAATTTAATTATAAGCACGTCTATTTTGGAGATCATTTGGTTATCATCCAAGTAATGTCTGAAATTTTCAATTATGTTTCAAGTGTTTGATATGATCTCATTTAGGCTCGAATTAAACCAATTACTGTGTCATTGGTTAAACTTATCAAGATGTTCAGTTCAACTATAAGTTTGTTGCAATCGGAGTCAGATTATCTTCAAATTAATATCAGAAGTTTCCAATTTAAATTTTATCTCGACATTAGTGTCAATCATGCAGATATATCATTATACCCAACCGAAAGTTCAATTCATCTTAAACATGCATGCCCTTATTTACTATTACCATATGTACCATAAATGCTACTCCTACACAAATACAATCATTACACCCTCTATCCTCTATGTAAACCTTTTAATTTTATTTTTAGAATGGAAAATGTTTATGTAATACAAACTCAACTAAAGTGGAGCAGCTCGCATTAAAATGGGCATTCTCATAGTTATTAACATATGAGCCCTACCCCAATTATTTAAGTTAGCTTTATGAATCAATTTCTCAATTAATTCTTATTATATGCAACATGAAGTGTTAAACCGCATGGCCATAGCCAAGCCATTTTGCCCCAACCATTTAGGATCAGCATGATCATAAATGTGCTTAAATAATTGGCATAAAAATGCATCTTAACTGCGAGCACAGAACTGTGGAAATGTAAGAGAAATCCAATAACCATTCATAATAAAAAATATGCTTTGTGACTGACGAATACATCGATACATTATTCTGAGAGGTGAACTCGTATAGAAGTTACATTCTTCCTAAATGAAATAACTGGTTTTGTTTATGACAGCAAACTAGTGTTGTAATTGGGAGGACAACCTCGTAAAGCAATGTAAATGAGTGTTGGTTAATATAACACCAACCAGGGCTCTTCTGCAAATATCCATTCCTTCTCAAAATCTGAATGATTAGTTTCAGGAAAAAACCTACTAAAACTATGAACATCATAAACTAATGTTTTCTTAGGAAACAGCAGAAAGCCCACCCTAAACTACTAATGGGTTTTTCCAACCTCCTAAACAGTGGCCAAACCCCAAAAAAAGACTTCATTTCATAACACTGGATTAAAAAAAAAAATCCCAGGGGTGCACCAAACCTATGCAAGGGCAACGCTTGAGATCCCCAACAACAAGCTAATGTAACAGTTTCTCCCCAATCCAAAATTAATTTAATATCATAATGAGTCAATGGGCCACATATTAAATATTAAACTGATAAGAACAGATCCATGAATATAGAACTTCTTGTGAATCTTCCCACTAGAAAATAAAAAAATCTACCAAAGATTAGCCAACTATATCGACGTTCGAAAAACAAAAGCATGTTACAATAAAAATCTAAACAAGCAAACAAACAAAGAATGCTGATTTGAAAAGATATCGAGCCAAATTTAAGCAAGCAGGCCAAACTCAAAAGATTTCTATTTAGACACGAGCTAAGACTCAGTCAATAGTGAATGATTTTGAGTCAAGTTCAAAGTTAGTAGGAGTAAATTCTGTTAATTTTATTAAATATATAATCACCAATCAAAATTATCATTTATATAAACTAATAAAATTTTATTTATAAAAAAGTGTATACTATATATATAATGTATACACATGCAAATGCATGAATATATCACGCATCTTTTAGGTTTTGAGTTGAATCAAACTTAATTTGAGGTAGGGCACCAATTATTCGAGCAAGTCATCCAAGGCAGAGCATGTTGATCTCAATTTTGAGTCAATTAAATTTCGAGAAATTATTAAGCAAGTTTCAAGTTTATAAGAAAAAAGATAACATCACATTTGAAAATTCATATACCTGGCCATCTGAACCAGCCGAAAATAGTCTATTGTGGCCAGGAGCAGCTGCTAAAGCGTTAACATCACCCTTATGATAAGTATGAGCTTGCAATAGCGTTCCATGTCTACTATCCCAAAACTGAACACTACCAGTACTATCTCCACTAACTAAGGTCCCACACCTGAGATAAGTTGAATTAAGAACAATAAAGGGTCACACATAATCAATGTGATATTTAGAATTTTGTTACCTTAAAAACATTAGAGACCATACACAGAGCTCTAATCCACTTCCAAGTCCTCCAAGCCCAACATTAATACGGTAGGTCTCATGGAAAGATGACGTATTCCAACATCTTATGACACTACACCGCAATGAATTATTTAAGAGAAAAAATGGCATTAATCAACAAAATTGCATGGAATAAATATAAAAATAAAAACAATGGATAAAATTGGAAAGTGAAAGATATGATCATAAGAGAAGTATGAACTTAAATGCGCAGACAATGTACAATTATAATGATTAAATCATAAAACTTACCCATCACTACTTCCGGAAAATAAGAGTTTTGCATCAAGACTCCAAGCAACGCTAAGTGTGCGCCCTAAATTTAAGGAAAATAAGAGAGGTATGTAAAAACATTTATTCAAATATAAAAGAGAAATGATGATCATTAAGCAGAGATCTAACCACTGACTCTAGGGAACGACCTTTTGTAAGTTAGATCGCTTTCCTCAACAGTATATAAACGCACACAACCATCATCACATGCAAGAGCCAAGTGCAGATTTTTGTTTCCAATAGTTGCAGCATTTAGTTCAGTAGGGTCATCATCACCATCAGAATCAACAGATTCATAATTACTATCCCCATCTTGGTAAGTATTTCCATTGGGTAATAGTTGTAAATCTTTGCCCCCAAAATGTAATGAATCATCAATTGGTTCTAATGCCATTTGCCAGATTGATACACCTATGGTATCAAGCACAATCTAAAAAGAAAACATAGGAACATGATACGAGTAACACTTAGTAATCTTTGAATGAAACCATACATTATTATAATTATTAAAAAAACATTATTAAACTAAAACTAGAACAATTAATCATATCTAGTTGATATTACAAAACCCTTACTACATATCATTTATCTAGTGGCTATCAACCAAAACTATTAGACATAATGTATCTAAAACTATAACATAATAGGCAATTAATTCATCAAGTCTACGCATAAGGAAGTTCAAAAAAGATAATTGTGACCTTCTAGTATCCAACAGCAACCACCAAAAAGAAAAATTGAAGGAAAATAACAAATCAACTCCAACACGTTCAATCTAAGAAAATTATTCAAAACTCAAAACTTTTTTTCTAATTCCCAGGTCATGTATCCTTATTTGAAATAACAAAGAGAGTGCATATCAACAGCAACCGGCACTCCCTTTAAAGATAAATAAAAAAAATGAACTATTTCTTTATTTTATTTTAAAAAAAAAAAACTAAAATAGTCCATTGACTCTTTATGAAAGTCCAAAATAATCCTCAACTATATTAAAGTACTATTTTGGTCCTTAATAAAAAGTAAATGCACCATTTTGGGTCCTTCATAAAGAGTCAAGGGACCATTTTGATCATTTTCCCTTAAAAAAAGAACGGAATTAAATACACTAGAGGTAAAAAGCATTGGCTTCCTTTACCATAGGTAGAGGGTAAAAAGCTTGGAGATTCTAGTTGCATAATAAGTATGCAATGGCTTCCTTTACCACAGCTAGAGTGTACAAAACTTGGAGTAGAACAAGGTAGTATTAGGATCATATTCACTCCCAAAATATGCAAGAGTAAAAATTTTGAAAGGATCCCAAGATAGTAAGAGAGAGGTCAACAACTAGCAACCAATACAACTAGACATTATCCATAGATTGGCAAATTCCAAACAGGAAGGACAAACCTAATGCAGTGAAATTCAATTTAAAAATGTAAAACAATTGAATTCTCATTAAGATAAAGTTCATAAACAGTTTGCATTGGAAAGATGTTAAATAAATCCTTTTAAAAGTCTATCAAAAAAATTGCTGCTTAAAACAACCTTGCAGTTCTGCAACCTATTCCTTGAAATGCATTGTCTTGAGACACCAACAAGTTGTCTATGCAGAGGATTACAGGCAAATGCAATAGATTGCATGCATTTGCTGCAATTTCTAGAAAATCATAATCAAAATCTCAGGCAAGAAATAACAAGAAAGAGTTTTAAGAAAAAAATGAAAAGTTACACCCTCCAAAGTCACATCTTTTACAAACTATAAATGTTGATTCTATCATCAAGTGGTCCGAGTATCATACTAGTAACCATTCAAATCTAAATAGCAAAATTCACCAAGCAAGATCCCCAGGATAGAAAGAGAATGTAATATGGCCACTTGCCAAAATTTAGGGGGCGCATGCATTGGGAAAAAGCATACAAATAACATTAATAAGCCGGGCAATATGTTAGAATCACTCTGGTTAATTTTCATTGTAACACCAATTATTCTGCATCCACTTGCTGGGCTGCATTTCATTATATTAGCCGCTTTACAAAAACCAAGGAAAAAATCAAATAACAAAGACCAGCATAGCATAAGATGCATCCGAAAACACATCAGCTTGACGTAGGAATCAGCATCCCAAACAATGCATAGAGAAAACTTGCTTGACAAAATGGGCCAAAAAAATCCTAAATGCATCGTGTCACTCAATGAAACAAACCCAATATCAGTGTATGAATTCAATTGACAGTTGAATCATGTGTTGTAAAGGAAATCAAGTGAACTCCAACTAGTAAAAAGCAAAATAAAAAATAAGGCAATTAACCTTCTGCTGTAACGTGAAGAAATCCCACTCTGAAATGGACCCATCAATGCTGGAGGACAACAAACGACCTCGCCCTCCACCCTTCGAACGGAAAGGTAACCAAACCATTGAAGACACTCTCGAACTATGGTTCCCATGGATGGTCTGCAACCAGAAGGACAAATTATAGCCCAAGAACGGCTCAAACTACGAGAGAGAGCGGAAGAAGACGTACCAACTGGCAATGCCAACCGACAGAGCCGGGAGAAACAAGCCAAATCTCTACGGATCCATCCTCCCTGGCCGCGGCTACCTGCGAGCCATCGTCGCTTGTAGCGAGAGCCACCACCGCCGACGGAGTCCACTCGACGGAGCTATTCCTAAATATCTTCAGCCTCTCCATTTGCTAATAAGGCAGCGAAGGGATAAGGAGGGATTCACAAAAACAAAATTCTGGAACCCTACAATCCGCTGCCCCGTGATCACGAACTTGAGAAACAGCTGTTACCTACGCAGTGAGCGAGCTACCGTTGTGACTTCCGATCCGATGCCTTCCAAGGAGGCAAAGCAGCTAGCGAGCTCCCCTCGTGCGAAGCACGCACAACGCGCGAAGCCGAAGCAGCCAGGAAGAAATGGCGGCGAGGAAAAGCGACGAAGCACCAGAGGAATAGCAAACCCTAAACGGCCTCCTCAATTATTAATCTAAACTAGAAGTATTAATATAATTTGAATATTGTAATTAATTATATTAATTAGTAGTATAATTAAGTTATTTAATTTAGTCTAAATAAAAATTATTGATATAATTGTCATTAATTTTTAATCACTAATATATATAATTTGTTGGTTATTATAGTTATTAGTAGTATAATTATCATTAAATTAACTTAATGCTTAAATAATTAATTAATTCATCAAACACACAAATCAAATTGGCAATCTTCAAACCAAATATTTCTTAATTGATAATCAAAGCTCCCAACCAACAAATTAAAATGAGTTGCAATCGGTGGAAAGTTAAAATGATGTTTGTCGGCCTACAAATAAATCAAGCCGAGTAGAGCACATGCTTGTTCATGTTTAAGCTCATTTATTAGTAGCTTATTTGAGCTTGATTCGAGCTTTTGAGTTTAGTTCATTTAAAATGATAGATATTCATGTTCAATTTGCTTTGTGCTTATTGATCTTTAAACAAGTAGCTTGTTCAAATTAACAAACATGTTTTATCGAGCTATTAACAAATGTGCCTTATTGAACTTTTAACGGAAGAGCCTTATCGAGATATTTCTTAGCTTAACAAACAAAACTTATCGGCACTACTAATAAGCATTTATATTGAGCATGTTAACTAATATATCTATCGAGCCTTTTCAAGCCCATAACTAGCAAGCTTATCAAACTTTCTTCATCCCATAAATGAGTTGCTTATCAAGCCCATAAATGATGTTTTTAATTAATGACCTTTTAAATGAACACTAAAATTAAATTGTCTATCAAACAGAAGTAAATATATTTTGATCATGAACAAACTCAATATATAACATGACTTAATCAATATTTACTTCAAACACAAATCAAGTTTTCAAACTAGTTATGCATTGAACAAAAATCAAATTTCTCAAGGAGTTTCTTAACAAGCTTCATATTGAGCATGTTCATAAGCTTCATGTGATGTTGTTCATGAATATGAATGAACAAATAACATAGTTGTTCGAGCTTATATATTTAATCATTGAGTATTTTAAAAAATATTCAAACATGTATGGTTACTTAATCAAATGATCATGAACAAACTGTAATAGAGTCAAATCTAGCTTATCAAATGCTCAGTTTGTTTGCAGTCCTAATCGTTGTTAGTGCCAAAAACCACTACAAATAATCATCGTCATCATCCCTATATTCCTATTAAGATCTAGCGCTATTCTTAGGTTTCAATTATCATATATTTTGTTATCAAATAGATCTATTATTATTCAGCTGTGAGGATCAAATGATTATTGTATTTCTTTACATATGATATAATTTTCAATTAGGTCAAACTTTATGGTTTATTTTCCTTTTCTAATTTTTCACCTTTTTTTTTTGCCTTCTATAACTTTTTATCTATGCGCGCCGATTTATTGATTAATAACAAACACATAACTTTATCCATTAGTATATGTAACAGATTTATCCTAGTCATTACTTATACATGTAGAACTTCTATTCATCTGTATTGTTTATAAATATATCACTATAGTTGTATGCTGAGACATTGAATACAAGCAAATCTTCCACTCTCATTCTTTGTTTTATTTCCAACCTTACCTTTCTTCATTGTATTAGAGCGGGTCGAGCCCTAGTTGTTCCTGTTTCTTATTTCTTTTTTACTTTCCCTCCATGGTGCAATCATCGTCGTCGCAGACAGCGGATCAACAAGTTGTAGCGTTCGATGAATACTGCAACATTCCGACATCCATTAAGTTTGTTATCTTCAACATCAAGATCATCGTTCAAACTCAATTATCTGCAGAGAATTGTGATGTCTGTAAATCGCAGATTCTTAAACTTCTGGATGCTAATGGGTTTGTTATGTTTCTTCTTCCATCAGCTTCCCCATCGTCTTGTCTGTGTTAACTACAAGATGAGACCACTGAGCTTAATCAATCCTAAATATAATGAATGAATTTTCATTGATCAAAAATTTAGCAGCAGCCATATGTTCGACTCTGTCTCCGATGATTCTTCCATATATAATACATCTTGAATCTTGTTCGGCCGTCTGGACAACAATCGAGCGCATACTCCAATCATCAAACCAATCAAGAGTTATACATCTAAAAAATGAGCTTCACAACATTCAAATGAAGAATCTCACAATGTCTCAATATCTTACGGATATAAAGTCCATTTTTACAATATAGCATCAGCGGGATCACAAGTTGATCAAGAAGATATCATATTATATATCTTGAATGACCTTCTGCCCTCATATCAAGCCTTCAAGACATCCATTTGAACAAAGCTTCATCCAATAAGTTTTGATGAGTTGTACTCTCTTCTCATAATCGAAGAGATCACCATACAGCTGAATCGATCAAGTAGATCCTACCATCGCTCTATTTTCATCAAGAGGAAGATGATGCAGGGGGCGTTGTCGATCTACTCCTCAATCAATAAAATTAGCTTCATCCAATGTTATCACTTGTCAATTTTGCAATAAAATAGACCATTAGGCATATAATTGTTGGCACAGGCTTAATACAAGCTACAATCCTCCGGAAATGCAACCACCTAATTCATCATCATCATGGGCTATGGTAGTAGCAAATGAACCCATCAATCCTGACTGGCAGTTGTATTCAATAGCCTCTGGTCACCTTTCACATTCGATTGATAATCTCTCTCAAGCAATACCATACAATGGTAATGACAACATCACCATTGGTGACGGTTGATCTTTGCCAATTGCTCATTCCGATAATGGTATCTTGCCTTCTCTATACCCTGAGCTTCACATCTCACCGCTTCTTCACATTCCAAATCTTTCACACAATCTTTTATCTATTTCTAATATAACTCAAGACAACAATGTCTCAGTATGTTTTGATGCTTCTAGGTTCGTCATCAAGGATTTGATGACAAACCAGCCTCTTCTATCAGGTTCAAGTCACAAAGGACTGAATCCCATTCGATCATATGTTCTTCAAGTTCATCAAACTACATTAATCTTTGCCTGTAAAGAATCATCCATATGGCATCGACGGCTTGGTCATCCTCACTTAAACATTCTCAACATTGTTCCCAACAATAACAAACTACTTCATATACATACCACTAGTGTTATATGTTCAAATTGTAAAGTCATAAAAGGCCATGAACTTTCATTTTCTCAATCTATGTCTAGATAATCTCATCCATTAGATATTATTCATTTTGATGTTTGGGGTCCGTCCCCTGTAACTTCCCATCAAGGTTTCAAGTTTTAAGTGATCTTCATAAATGATTTTTCACGTTTTACTTGGATCTTTCCCATGCAATACAAATATGAAATTTGTTCCATCTTTATCAAGTTAAAATACCTTATTAAGAAGCAAACATCCTTTCATATAAAATGATTGTGTTCTGATGGAGGGAAAGAGTATATAGAGTATCATCTTACTACTTTCTTAATCAACGAGGTATTCAACATCAAGTATTCTGTCCATATACACCTAAGCAGAACAGTCTCACAGAACGAAAACATCACCATCTTATTGAGACCACAAGAACTCTTATGCATACGATATCAATTCTTACTCATTTTGGCTTGATGGCTAACTGCTTCCTATCTCATAAATAGACTACAATCTCGTGCTGCAAAATTTAATTCTCCCTTATTACTCGTTCTTAAGAGTATTTGATTGTGCTTGCTTTCCATGGCTTCCACCAAATCAACGTCATAAGCTTGAACCTTGTTTGGCATCATGTGTATTTCTTGGGTATTTAACTGTATCCAAATGTTACAAATGCCTTGATCCCACCACCAACAAAATATATACATCTCGGCATGTCACATTTGATGAAAACTCTTTCCCATTCAAATCAATTTCTTTATCTACCTCTTCGTCCAGCTATTTACAAACTACACCCCAACTTCTTGTTCACCCTCCACGACCTCCCAAAGATGTCCTATTGTCACTTCTAATCTATCCCTACCACACATTCATACTCTCATCTCAATACATCATAAGCAGCCCGTGAGATTGCCACTGAAGTAACACATCCATAAAACAATCCTTTAGACAGCTCCAGTTCTCCAATCTTTCAGCATGCTCCTACTTAAGTACCTCTACCACCAAACCAACCTCAATTTACGCATCGTATGACAACCATATTCAAAATTGGTTCTCTCAAACTGAAATAGATGCTCAATATAATGTATATTCAGGATCATACTGAATATTCACTGCAAACTAAACCAAATATCTACTCTGAAACTATCAAATTTCCTCATTGGAGGAAAGCAATGCTAGAGGAATTTCTTGCGCCACAAAAGCAAGGAACCTAGAAACTTGTTCAGCCACCTGAAAACACTCCAATCCTCGGTTAATCATCAACAATATGGTATTAACTATCTTGAAACTTTTAGTCATGTGGCTAAGTTTCCTACCATAAGAACTCTTCTAACTATTACACTTGTTAAAAAGTGACAATTGCATCAATTGGATGTAGCCAATGCATTCCTATGTGGAAATCTTGATGAAGCTATATACATGAAACAACCTAAAGGATTTGAAGACAATGCTCATCCTAATCGTGTTTGTCTTATTCGAAAAGCTATATATTGCTTTAAACAAACACCAAGGCAATGGTTTAACACTTTCTCTACCTATATCTGCTCCCTTGGTTTCACTCATGGCAAAGCCGATACGTATCCACTTATTTTTCATAAGAATGACATTCAAATTTATCTACTTATATATGTGGATGATATACTACTTACGCGCAACGACTCTTCTATGATATCCACTATTATTCAACAACTTAACAATCAGTTTTCCATGAAGCATCTCGATACAACAAGCAATTTTTTTGACCATTCAAATATTTCAAAAACAACAATTATATTTCCTATCACAAGAGTCATATGCAAAATCCATTCTACAAATTGTTGGAATGACTACGTGCAAATCTCTTTCCAATCCTTGTTGCACCAAACTACCAACCACCATTCATGCTGATCCACTACTGTCTGATCCGAAAATCTAAGGATAAATTACTGGTTCTTTGCATTATCTTACAATAACAAGACCGAACATCTCATATGCAGTTAATATGCTATGTCAACATATGCATAGCCCAACATCTCAACACACCTACTTACTCAAACGACTACTAAGATATATTAAAAGAACTTTGCATTTCGGCCTTCCCATTTTGAATTGCAAGCTAGAACTAAAATCCTTTTCAGATGCTGATTGGGCAGGAGACAAAAACACTAGACATTCCACATCAGAATATTACACTTTCTTAGGCAATGCATTAATCTCTTGGAGTGTCAAAAAGCAGCATACTGTTGCTTGTTCATCTACATAAGTAGAATACAAGGCTTTAGCGACTGCAAAATTAGATATTATATGGCTTCGTAGGCTTATGCAAGATTTTCATATTCACATTTCTTCTCCAACAGAATTAAGTTGTGATAATACCTCTGCTATAGCTCTTGCAAATGATCATATTTTTTCATGCTAGAAAAAAAACATATATAAATTGATCACCATTTTATTCATGATCGCATTCATTCTCAAACTACCACTATCTCTCTGGTTACTACTCATGATCAAATTGCGGATATACTGATGAAGCATCTATCTAGTCTTTGCTTTCAACTACTAAGGCACAAGCTGTCCATCAGCTTGTGTGGGAGTAATAACAGGCCCATAAATTTACCTTTTGTTATATGTAACAGATTTATCCTAGTCATTACTTATACGTGTACATCTCCTATTCATATGTATTGTCTATAAATACCTCATTGTAGCTGTATGTTGAGACATTGAATACAAGTAAATCTTCCACTCTCATACTCTGTTTTCTTTCTCGCCTTACCTTTCTTCAGTGATCTCATACTTGATTTTATAATCATCCAAATAATTCTAAAATATTTTCTTAAATTGTATGTTTTCAAAAGTAAAAAAAAAAAAAATACTTTTATTTTATTTTTATGAAATTTTGAAATTCGTGTTTTTTAGTTTTTATAGCCTCCGGATTGCCGCATCAAACAACAATTAGGGATTTTCAGTAGCTTCTTTTGAATTTCGTTTGCACTCGATACTGTGATATCCAGAGTTAGCTCCAAGTAGAGCTTTTCTGAAGCTTCAAGCAGACAATCCTGATGGGAGACTGGCAGGAGCTCGCCCAGGCCGTGATCGTTGGGCTTATATTCTCTTATCTCGTCGCCAAGCTTATATCGACGGTTATCTGCTTCCGGCAAGATCATCTCAAGGTTGTCATCGAAAAGGAACCGGTTGGCGAAACACCGGAAGCGGACCAAGCATCGGACGAAGTTAATAAGAAACACGCCGAGGTCCGAAACTCCTCGGCCTCCGATAGTGACAGTTCTAGGGTCAGAGGTGATGATTTTGAGGGTTTTGTGACGGAACAGAGTCTTTTAGGGGAGGATGATGACGATTGGGAAGGAATCGAGAGTACAGAACTGGATGAGATATTTAGCGCGGCCACGGCTTTTGTTGCCGCCACTGCTGCTGATCGGAACTCGACCAAGGTATCCAGTGATGTCCAGCTGCAGCTATACGGTTTTTATAAGATTGCTACCGAAGGTCCCTGCATTGCTCCTCAGCCTTCGGCAATTAAAGTTACCGCTCGCGCCAAGTGGTATGTCACTTAGATCAAAATGATACTTACCTGAACTCTCTTTATAAATATATATTTTTCTGCATTTCTTATGATAACATGTGAAATGATCCTGTGGTTGCGGGTACGGTCTTGAGAAGAGAAATTTTACAAATTCTCTTTGGGAAATCGGCCAGGGATATTTAGTTAGCCAAAAATATTTGAAGAACAGCTGAGTTGAACATGAACATAGATAGTTAGCAGATGATAAAGCTGTTGCTTGCAGTAGTATCACCAATAGGGAAAGAAAATTACTTCATTATAAGAAATGAAGTGCGAATGTCCTTCTGTTAATCTATTTAATTTAAGCTCTTCTAGTCTATGATTAGCGTTTACTCTATCCCTCTTCATCCTCTTGCCAGCAAGGCAAGTAGATATACTCCTGCAAAAGTGTTAGCACACATGGACATTATGCTGCAAGCCAACTTAAGCCTATCGTTGACCATCTACATCAGCAAATGGCTACTGCTCCACTCCTCTGCAACCGCAGACTGCCATCGACGGCAGCACTGATATTCCCGAACCAACTTGTCTACCTTACATCTATATATACACATTCTCTGTAATAAACAATATAGAAAAATATATAGCTGCTACAGTGATACAAAACAGTTTCTGTTTATCTTCCTCTTCTCTATTCTAATATATGTGCAGGTTTCCCTTCAATAAGCACATTTGGCTTGTAGTTGTTTCAATAGAAATGCTGCTTATTTAGATACTTAAAAAATAATGGATCCGCCATTTTGTTCCCATCCCTCCTTCAGCCTTCTTTATTGGGAAGGGAATTGCCTCGTCAGGTTAATTATATACATCTATTTTAATAGGCAGGAGGTACCAGCACATTGATGCACTTATTTTGAAAGCTCACGTTGGGCGATTAATAAAGACTGGAGATGAGTTTTTCAAGGGGTGGATTAAATAGCGGAATGCCCTATCCAAAGTTTTATCCCTCATGGAGACTATATATTATTTGTTCAAGTCTTCCTAAAGGTTTAATCCCCGTATTTAATTACCTTTATGTTTTAAGTAGATAATTGCTGATTAAAGGTTTTTTTGAGGTTCTCTGATTTTCTTAAACATTATAGATGATTCTTCTTTTTTTTTTGTTAATACATGTTCTTACAAAATTTAATTGTTTTTTTGTCTTTGCGGTTGGAGTAAATTGGTGGGAGGTGAGGGATGGCGGTAAATCATGTTAATATCATATGGTTCTATCGCCCACAGTCTCTTGTCGTGCCTCGGTCTAAATAATTAGAAGATATTTATTTATGTGTTTTTAACATGGGAAGCTTTTTTAAGGAAGCATGGGTTCCCTTATCTAAGTGATCACTTAGGAACAAAGGGTTTAGTCGTCCATGTGGTCTCCATATGCCAGGGGTGGAAAACTTATCAAGGAGACTAACTTCATGGTAGATCTATGCAATTGGATGGCTTTTGTCTTATTAGATTGAACCATGCAACTGGCTTGGATATTCAAGCCACTAAGGAACATGTGAATCTTTTGGGAATGTGTGTTTTTGGGAGCTAGTTGATATTGTAGTTTATATGAAATATGAGCCATGACCGCTCAGTTCAAAGACATGTTTACCTTGTTCCTAGTGACCCATAGGCTATAAGCATGGTTAACATAGTTGCATTGATATAAGCTTCTTTGAGGGGCATGGTTGTTTATAGCATTAGTGCCCTTGACCAATTTTAGGTGGAAGGGTAGATGGGATGTTGTATAAAGCGTGTTGTTATCATTGTTTTTTTTAATTATATTTAATATGTTTTAAACAAATTTTTAATATCCTTAGGTGAAGGTTCAACTTATAAGGTTGTCAAGTAGAGGGATTAGTATTCATCTATTTATGATTTAGATTGAAAAACCCAGTGTTGCACTCCTTGTCTGATTTTCTTTTGAAACATCGATGCCTTGAAATCATTCTTTTATGTTGTTGTATTGGGGCATATTAGGTAATTTTAAAATTCTATTAGAATGTCATTTGTTGCTTCTCAAAGAGTGCTTTCATTTAGTAAACGAGGGTTAGACTCCTCCTAGAATAATTTGATCGATTCCTTCAGGTTATACGTCTTTTGGGGTAGATGATGAGCCTTATTTTAAAAATCTCTTATTACCTCGATTTTTTGTTGGGAGATGGGTTTTTGATCTTTATTCATGTTTTGATGCTTAAGAGTAATTATCATATTTGCTTAAAGTCTACAAGACAACACTTATTTGTAACTTGGTTGATTTTATAATCGGAGGCAAGTGGCCACCATCATTTACTCTAACTACATCCAGTCTCCTCCATATACATCGTTTCATCATAATTCGTCTTTAATTAACTTCATCATCCAGGCCATCCACCATCATTTATCTTTAAGGGTGCTTTAGACATGATTTGAGATTTATGCATAGAATTTTCTTTTTGTTGTAATCAATTATTATGAGATTTGAGAATTTGCAGATTCCTCTCTTTTATTCTCTTCCCTCTCTCCTATAGTTTCTCACTAATCCCTAGTTCCTTTCTTTTGTCTCTTTGATATTTTTATTGGGATATCATTTTGAAAGGAAGACGTAGACTTTATTTGCAATCTTAGTTTCCTTTACATTTTGATTGCATCAATTTTTTAATAATGCAAACAAAGCCTACGTCGTCCTTTCAAAATGACATTACACACAAAAATAGAACCAAAACGATATTATTATTTCCCATAATGGCTTAAACAAACACAACAAGGAACACAACACAACACTACTTACAACTTGAAATATAAAGACATAAGAACACCATAGAACTAATCAAGCCTTACAAATTTTTTTTTATGAGAAGAACGATAATGATGGGGTGGAACTTGCGGAGAGAAGAAATAGATAAGAAGTCCGAGACGAATTCATAGAGAGGGAAAAGAGAAAGGGGACTAGCTCGCAAGCTATCCAAGAAGAAACCCGCTAGTTTTTAGCTCCAAAAATCATCACATAACTCACTTAAAATGCCTTAAAACAACCACTATATATAGGAGAAGAGAGGGAGCCAAACAGCCAAAACAGCTGCCCATATTATCCAATCAGCAAAGGGGAGGCAGAAGGCCAAAAGGCAGCCGAAGGGAGCAGCACCCGAAAGGCCAGCATGACACATCCAACAGACAACCAACGCAAGGGGGAAGGAACCGGGCAGGCAGGGGAACCGAAGGGGCAAAACAGAGGGGGATAAACATGGCCAAACAGAGGAAACGAAAGGCCACAGGGGGGATGAACCGACCCCCCCTTTTGCCTACATCACTTTTATATATAAACTAATTATTATAACAAAACATCTTATTTTTAATTTTTTTTCAGCACATTTTAATTTTCCTACCAATTTTTTTTACTATTAAGTGCTTTTCCTTTTGATACTTCGAGCACATATTTTGTAATATTTTTAATATCACTAGCCATTTTTTCTGATATAACATTAGCGCCTTCATGCATAATCAAAATATCAAGATTTTGAATCTTAGCCTCAAAAATATTTTTGTTAGCGTTCTGTAAATGCCCCTCATCCAACCTTAGGAGAATATTATATTTTAATTTTCATATTTCGCCCCTTCATCGTAAAGCCAAAATTAATAAGCGAAGTTAGGTAAATAAACTTTCACTCAAATTAATTTACAATATTTGTAATCTAAATAATCAATTTTTTTATAAGAAAATAATTAATCTGAGTTTTTTAATATGTATTCTTATAACTTACAAGTGATTAGATTTCCATCTATTTCCTTAAATAAAATATTAGTAATTGCAAAATCTAATTTGGTTCTACTACCTTCATTAGATGTTTAAGTCCCATAGCCATCATGAATGTTTTTAAAATCTTCTACCATGCTACCAACATGCCCATTTAAATCAAAACTTTTTATTAATAGATATCTTTTGTAGTAATCCTTGTAAGTCATTCTAAAATTTTAATTTTGAACATTTATCCAAACCTACTAAATAAGCATAAGTACTTATAATATTAATAAATTTAGCAGGACTCCTACATGAATACCATAATTTAAATTCTAAATTCTAAATTATCAATCTACTTAGCTTCTCTTTAACCCATTTAGTTTCATGAATACACAGAATATTTATCTTCCTATGAACTATAATATATATTAATTTCATTATTTTTCTTGTAAGAGAAATTATATTCGAAGTTCCTATCTTAATTCTAGTTTCATGGTCTAGCTTCTTTGTTCACATCCATCCATGATGTGAGAACCCTTACTTATCTAACACAACACCCGAGTGCCAGTGCTGCAGCTCTTGCACATTTTTCACTGTATTCAGGCCATAGAACTCGTCGCTTCCTGGGAACACCCTATCATTAATACAATAAATTAAAGGTTTCATGCTGTGATTTTTCGATAAATTTTACGCGACTGCCTAACGCAATTCTCCATCTTTCTCATCTAGGACTTAGGACCTAACAATAATAGTGTTATAAAAAATTTTAAATTGCCTATCAAGATTCATAGAAATTTTTTAATAACAATGTAATAAAATTTATTAATTTAATAACACAATGTACTAAAGTTTATTAATTTAATAAAAAAAATTAATTGCTGATCAACATTAATATTTATATTAAGATATTATCACTTATCAGAATTATTAAATATAAATGCATTTATTCATACATCCTTGATTATATTTCTGAGGTTATTAGCACATTTACACAGAGTTTTAGTATCTCTAATAGACTAATATGCATATATATAAATATCATTGTTATAAGATTAAGTATTTTTATTACATCAGTAAAGTTTTATTCAAAATAATAGAATTATATATGCTACTAATTTAACTTTAACTTTTTTTTTTCAAGTTAAAAAGAAAGTTTTTCTGATATGTTTGTATAAATATAGATAGATAAATTTTCAAGTTTAGGTGGCTTGAAATAATAATTTTTGTTTTCTCGTCTTCTAAACTTGGTGCGAGTTTCAGATATTTAAGCATGGTTGCCGCTTCTAGTTTCTGGTTTATAAAGTTCTTCTCAAAAGCATATGTTTAGAATTCTTATCAAAAGTATATATATATATATTCAAGTCTAGGCAGCTTGAAATAATAAAATTTGTTTTATCGTCTATTAAAACTTGTGCAACTTTCAGATATTAAGAGTGGTTACCATTTCTAGTTTCTGGTTTATAGAATGCTCAAATGAATATTGTAGAAGATCATTTGTTACTGATTGTTGTACAGAAAACTATATTAATATTAGTGCTAACCTTTTTTTTTTGTTGCCTGTTGCTTGACTCCGGTTAGAAGGTGGATTAATGACTTGAAATGGAAAAAGCCTGTAAAAAATAAAAATGAAAGCTCATAAGGGGTTGTACTACAATGCATGATTTTTTTTTTTAGGGGGGGGCACGTGCCCCCCCTTGCCCCCCTCCCTCCGCCCATGCCTGTTGGTCTGTGGTCTACATTAACTGCACTATAATTGCAACCATAGGATCCATATTCAAGATACTTTCACCCCTTTATAACGCTTTTGTCTTGCCCATTTTGGGGCTTCGATTCACCGTTTTTACTCTTTTTTCTAGCTTCATTTGTGTTGACTTGATTGGAAATCAGCTGATATTAAAAGTTCTGTGATGTACAAGGAATGCCTGGCAAAAACTAGGCGCCATGCCTCCAGAAGAAGCTATGCAAAAGTATATTGAAACTGTGGAGGAGCTTTTTCCTTCTTGGTTAAGTGCTTCAGCAATGGCAAGTTTTAAAATTTCTCATCTAGTTTATATTTCTTGCCAGTTATTATCCTTTCGTACCTTCTATTACCATTTTAATGTTAAAAATGCTGTGTTGTCTAGAAAAATAAGCATGAAGATACCTCCTCGTCTAGTTCGGCCACACAAGGAACAATGGGGCCAGTTTTCAGCAGTTTAATTCTTGAGGATGGATCAGAAAATGATCTGTAAGTTTCTTCCTAGCAGTCAACTTTTCCACGTGTCTCTTTGTGTTTGTAGTGCAGGGGAGTTAGCGGTTCATTTAGTTGTCTGCGTTTGCCATATTTTTAAGAATTGTATTGCCTTACTCTAGTGTTGATACTTCATCGTTTTGGGGCCACCAAATTTATTTTGCAAACCTGATTTTCATCTATTATTCTTTTCGTGCTTCGGTCGTGCAATTTAGAAATGGTATAACCAGTATATGCAGAATTTTTTTGTGAGCCATTAGAAGTTTTACTCAGAGAAATAGATGGCAATTGTTCCTGTAAACACCAGTTGTATGTATAACAAGAAATGTTATTAGGTTTGATGTACTGTAAAATGGAAACGAATGCTTTGTTGAACATAGAAGCTGCTTCTGTGCTTCAGAACTCTAACATAAAAAAGTGAAAAATAACTGATTTTTAGTTTCTTTAAATGCATACAGAAGGCTAGATGCAATTCATGTTTCGGCTAGAGAAGGAGAAGTTGATAGTTTATTGAAGAGCATTGAGAACGGTGCTTCAGTGAATCTGAGAGGTTAGCTATTTCGAAGTTTTACACTTTTTATTCATTTATGGTTGTGGAATTGATGCCTAAATTCGAGTGATAATGATTATATGAAGAAAAAATCTAAATTGTACCAGGGTCGGTGGTACCTAGCTATTTACTTCTGGTGACCCTGTGGTACCTAGCTATTTACTTCTGGTTTAACTGCTAAAATTCCATTATATATAATACTTGTGAAGTACCTAGCTGCTTTTTTTTGTGATTTTGCGCATTTAAAGTCTGTTATAGTAACAATACCTAGCTAGTTGCTTCATAAAAAATAATATATGTGGAGTTTCTAACTTGTTACTTAAGAAACAAATGCAATATATGTGAAGTCTTTGTGTGATTTTAATCATTTAAACTTTATTATTACAACAGTACATAGCTGGGCACTTCACAAAAAGCACTATATAAGAAGCGCCTTATTGTGAATGGTATTATGCATTTAAAGTACCTTGCTATTTACTTTTGGCATTATAAATTTAAAGTTCATTATAGTAGCAATATATTGTTACTTCATAAATAAATATATATATATAGCTGTTAACTTGTGATTTTAAATATTTAAAATCTAGTACAATAGCAACATCTAGCTATCTGTTTTGCCAAAAAAATAAGAAGAACCAAACTGTGAACTTTTGATTTTTAACGTTAAAAGTCTATTATAGTAGATGTAACTAGCTAAAAAATAATAATATATGTGAAATAACTATCTGTTTATTTGTGATGTTAAGCATTCAAAGTCCATTATAATTGTTGTACCTAGCTCGTTATTTTATATAAAAATAATATATTTGAAGTACCTAGTTATCTACTTGTGATTTTAAGTATTTAAAGAAAATTATAGTCGTAGTACTTAGTTTGGTATTTCATCAAAAACTTTTCTACCAAATTATCTTTCTATAGATATTCTATCTAGGAAACTGTTAGACCAGTCCACTGGACCGGTCCAGCCGGTCCAGGCGGGACCGGTTCACGGGTTCCTGCTGTGGACAGCCATTTGGCTGCTGTTTGTTCGCCGATTTTGGTTAGGTTACTTGCGAACTCAAGTATTTCCTATCAGAAACCATATAATAAAAATAGTTGGAGCCCTTGCTGCAATTATTGGAAAGGGATCTATAAAACTAATAATTTCCCTTCCCTTGTCATATGCTCCTTCACGTACAAAAATTATCCATGAATATGTTATATATTCAAAAACAGACGTATGATAGAATTTGTATTGCAATATTTTTTATCCTACTCATTACTTTTTTCAAGATTGAATGACGAGGAAGATGATTAGAAATGCTAACGAATAAGGACAGTACATATGGACTCATATTATAAGAGTCACATATCCTATTCTCATTTATCTAAAAATTTTGATACTAAAAGTGCACAAATGTGGCTTCATCACATTGAAATGGGTCATCCATCTACTACATTCCGTGTTTCCAACATTATTTGATAAAATGAAAATGGAAGAGCTTCTGTGTGAGGATCGTTAAATAGCTGAACACCATAAAGTTTCCAACCACCAAAGTTACAAAGAAATCTCATATTTTTTTCCCAAATTAACATCAATGTTTGGGGACCATCTCGTCCCTAATATTAATGTTGCTAGATGGTTTATTGCTTTTATAGACAATTTCTCATGCACAACTGATACAACTATATTTTGCTTGCAAAGTTGCCAATCCAACATTGTGGATATACTGGCAATTTGTGGGCATGTTTAAGGGCAGAAACATCTCTCCAATTTTTTTGGGAAGTAAATGCATGTAAGTTGTCAAATATCTTCATTTATTATTATATAATTAATAGTTTTCATATGTAGAATTTACTAAGAGTGGCCTAGAATCCTGCTATATAAATAGAGCGGAAAAACCTCCAATGAAATAGACATAAAATTCAAATCATCATTTATCCTCTCTTAAAAAATGATTTGCACAAAATAAGCATAACACCTATTGCAACTATTAATGATACTGATGCGCTTCAAGTGCAGGCTGAAATTTCCCAAAACCTGTAACAGATTTTGCTCTCAGCTTTCTATTCCCAACCACTACAATCTGAGAATTTTCTCTCAGATTTTTTTGTGGAAAGCTGAGGCACGTTTCTCAGCCTTTCTCTTCTCCATTAAGGCTAGGCTTCTCCTTCAATCTTCTCTAGACCCTTGTCTACTGGAACCTGAGAATTTTTCCCAGGTTTTGAATAAAAATCTGAAGAAAAATTTCAGATTTTGTCCATCTACCATAGCAAAGCGTTTTTTTTCGTTCTACATCAGATACTGCATGAAAAGGATTTTAAAATCAATTTCAAATAGTTGGAAAAGGTTAATGATGATGATGATTTGATGACCTAAATGCTCCTTTCGTGAATGATTCCTACTGATTCATTGGGCATATAGGAAACTTAACACTTTCATAATTCAAAAAAGCTTTTCAAGCTACGTGGAAATTTTCCTTATTTAGAATTTGAAACTTCTTAATATCATATCGTTGCTTTTTTTTTTTTTATAATTTTCTTGATTGAAATGCCAAATTGTAGTTCAATTTGAAATTCTTTTCTGACTCTGAAATGGTTCAAGGAGATGGACTGAGCTTCTTATTGATACTTGACTGTTCCCTTTGTCCTATTTCTCCATGCATCTTTAAATTTTTTTTAAATGTCTTTGTCCTGACTCCAGACAGCGAAGGTAGGACCCCACTGCATTGGGCTGTAGATCGTGGCCACCTAAAGATTGTTGAAATACTACTCAGCAAAAGTGCAGATGTGAACGCTAAGGTAAACGCCATAACTGAAATAACCTAGTAGTTAATTTGCATAAAAGCCTTCAATTTCATATCTGCTATTCTCTTATTTAGAAATTTAGTTTCAGCACTTCACTGAAAGTTCTAATCTTGTTATGTTATACCGGCTTTGAATGCAAGTTCTAGCCATTTGAAACCATCGAATATTTGCTTGACATGGGGGATTTACATACATACCACTTTATTTCATACTATTTACATATAATACTCAAAACTTTAATATTACATTCTTATCACTCATATAAACTTTTAGTATCAAATGAATCACTCTTATATTTCATTCTTACCACCCATACCACTCTATAAACTTTAATATTTTATTTCATGCACCCGTATTTGTTCTATGAGTGGTAGGTATGTATATTAAAGTTTCAAGTATTAAATATGTAAATAGCATGAAATAAAGTGGTAAGATTATTACGTGCGGTATCCGGACTGTCCGGAGGCAAATTTGGACGCGCCATGTCACTTGTATGCACTGGGCCCTGGGTGACGTGGCGCATCCGATGCTGCATGTAATAATTTTCCCCTTTTTTGGAGGCCCTCACGGTACCTTTTGTTACCAAATAAACCAAAATACGTTCATTTGTCCATTCAATTTCAAGCACTTCCAAATGCCTCAATAATTTTCATCCTATTTGATTAGGACAATGAAGGCCAGACCTCTCTACATTATGCTGTAGTTTGTGAGAGAGAAGCCTTCGCCGAGTTGCTTGTCAAAAATGGTGCTGATCCCGAAATGAAGGATGAGGAGGGCAATTCCCCAAGCGACCTTTGCAGTTCGCCTTGGAATTTTTTGACTTCTGCAAAGTAGTTCATTTGAGAAATAAGAAATCCTAAACAAAAAAAAAAAAAAAAAAACAAAAAAAAAAAAAAAAAAAAAAAAACCCTAAAAAGTGACTTTTTATCCTGGTGTGCATATCAGCCTTTCTCTCTGCCTGCTTAAGGCTGACTTCAGTTGATAGGTTTGCTTATCTAGTTTCGGTTTTACATTTCCTCCTATAAGAGCCCAGTTTTTTTGGTGGCCAACTTGTATTTCATTATCCGTGACGAGCAAAATTGTCAGAATCTCATCAAACAAATCAGTTTATCCAACGGTTCCATTTCAGCTACTCCGCCTTTTGTTTTAAACTTTGTATTACTTGTAATTGAAACGACCGTTGAGCTCTTTTGGTTTTTATGCTGGAGTAATTATTGTGTCCGGACACCGAACGCGTCCAGAGATCAATAACAAAGCGTCACGTCACTTGGGCACTCGGTATGCTCGGTATTCTGTCCGGACATAATAATTTTTCATTGTAAGGCGTTTTATTTCTTGTATATATAAGTGGTTGCTTAAGATCATGTTAACGTTTTTTACTTGACGAGTGCCTTGAAAATTAGATATAAATTTTATAAAACATAATTGGGTCAGATATGAATCTGAATTTTTTCAATAAAAAACTGATTGATAGATAAGAATATCATAATTGGGTCAGATATGATATTTCTTTATTAGATTTAATCAAGAATTTGACTTTTAATAGGACACAATTAGGGCTGCAAACGAACCGAGCCGAGCTGAGTATGTGAGTGTTCATGTTTGTGTTTGTTTAACATTAGCTTGTTCATGTTTGGTTCGTGTTTGATTCGAGCTTTATTATTTGTGTTCATGTTTGGTTCGTTTAATTTAAGTGTGTTCATGTTTGGTTCATGTTCGTTTGTTTAGTGCTTATCGAGCTTTAAACAAGCTATGTTCGTGAACATATTTCGCAAACAATCTATTGAACAAGCAAATCTTAAATTTATTCATGAACATCCTAAACAAAGAATCTAACCAACATGGACAAATATGAAATGTTTCTTGTTATTAATAAAAAAATAATTATATTATTATGTTATAATTAAAGTTTTTATATAATGTATATTTATCAATTTTATAATAACATATTATTTAAGTTTTTATCGAGCGGTTTTAATCGAACTCGAATCGAGCTTTTTATCGAGCTTGTTCATGAACATCAACTGATGTTGTTCGCGAACATAAACGAGCTGAACGCATTAGTGTTCAAGCTTGTTTATTTAAGAATTGAGTATTTAAAATATTGCTCAAGTTTGTTTGTTAGTTAATTAAACGATCATGAACGAGCTTTAATCGAACCGAACAACGAGTAGTTCGTCAAACGTTTGGTTCGCTTGCAGCCCTAGACACAATGGAGAAAAATGATTCATGTTGGGTTATAGTGGGATAAAAACTTGATGTTGTTGTTGGAAGAGCTATAAAAAAAAAAACTGCACGGGAATTTTCACCACAACGTAGATCCAACAATCGATGACTCTATAAACCAAAGCCATATAATATAGCTATGTTAGTCGACGCAAATTACAGAAGTGAAGTATCCATATCTAAAGTTCGTTAAAAACAAAAAAAGTAATAAAACAGCTACAAATGGTTGCTCGGCCAAATGCCTTTAAAGCTACGCTAATAAAAAATACATAGGCAATCTAAATCTTTCTATTCCGTCTAAATCTCCAAAAAAGGAATCCGAAATCATTCAGAGCTCATCATGAGAATCATCATCACTGCTATCCGAGCCACCTCCAGGGGCACCACCTGATCTCTGGTAGACTTTAGAGATGACAGGGTTGCAGACAGCCTCGACCTCCTTCAATTTCTCCTCAAAATCTTCCTTTTGACCATCCTGATTCTCATCAAGCCATTCTAAAGCATCCTTGAGAGCCGCATCGATCTTCTCTTTCTCATCGTTTTCGATCTTGTCGGCGAGTTTGTCCTTGTCATTGATAGTGTTCTTCATGTTGTACACATAAGTCTCAAGCTGGTTCCTGGCATCAATCTTCTCCTTCACCTTCTTATCCTCCTCTGCGAACTCCTCTGCTTCCTTCACCATGCGATCAATCTCTTCCTGGCTGAGGCGGCCTTTGTCGTTGGTGATGGTGATCTTTTCCGACTTGCCAGATGCCTTGTCCTCAGCCCTGACGTTGAGTATGCCATTGGCATCAACTTCAAAAGTGACCTCGATCTGCGGTGTCCCTCTGTTCCAACAGAATATATTCTTATTAATTAAAACAAGAGGTGGCGCGCAAAAGTTTTGTCATTAGAGATGGAAGATGGCAAACCTAGGTGCTGGAGGAATGCCAGTGAGGTCAAACTTCCCAAGCATCCTGCAGTCCTTTGTGAGACTTCTCTCCCCTTCAAAAACCTGCAGAGCATTAAGAAGAAGCATTCGTAATCTGCATGTAAGAATACAAAGCTAATTGGCATGATAGCAGAGCCATGCATTCGATACTCATAACCATACCCACCCTTATGGGTATTGGTGGGTGCTCAACAACGGGGAATAAATCGATTTACATTGCTAATCACCATGTATCTTATATTACTACAATCTTCACTACGTAATATGCAACACTTAAAAACGATGCGACTACGGTATATTCTGATATGCATTTTAAAAGTTTACAATCAGAGCAAAGGACAACAAGCCTCAAGGCCATTAATCTGTGGCAGACTGTGTTCAAAAAGCATGGAAAGTGGATGGGTATGGCATCCCGAAAAGTCACCATGGGTGGGCGAAGCCCGTCCGAGTAAAACATGGGTACCCAACCAGGACCCCATGTAAAGCTCTGCATGATAGTAATGTGAGGAGAAGTGATTTTGTACCTGAATGGATACAGTAGTCTGTTGATCCTGGTAGGTTGTGAAAACCTGAGATTTCTTGGTCGGGATAACAGTGTTTCGTGGAATCAATTTGGTCATGACTCCACCAACAGTCTCGATACCGAGGGTTAACGGTGCAACATCAAGAAGGAGAATATCTGGATGAGGATATTAGAAGATAATTTTTTGTGCAAAATTTTTTATTGGATTTAGAAAAACTGTTCAGTAAGAGAAGGCAAAAGTACCTTTAGTCTCCTCGCCACCTTCACCACTTAAAATGCCTCCTTGAACAGCGGCACCATAGGCAACGGCTTCATCAGGGTTGACCCCCTTGTTTGGCTCTTTGCCATCAAAGTAATCCTTCAAAAGCTGCTGAACCTTTGGAATTCTGGTGCTCCCACCAACAAGAACAATTTCATCAATCTGGTGCTTCTCAAGACCAGCATCTTCCATGGCCTTCTTCACAGGCCCCATAGTCTTCCTGAATAGGTCATTGTTTAGTTCCTCAAATCTGGCGCGTGTCAGAGGCTCAGAGAAGTCCATGCCATCATAGAGGGCTTCAATTTCTACACGAACTTGGTGCTGGTTGCTCAGTGCTCTCTTAGCACGCTCACATTCTCTCCTCAGCTTGCCTAGAGCACGATTATCCTTGCTGATATCCTTTCCATGCTTCTTTTTGATCAATTTAATGAAGTACTCCATTATTCTTTGATCAAAATCCTCACCTAACAAGAGCAGAAAAATTCTTGCATCTATAGTTATTGAACTAATTAAAAGTAAAAGGCATCATGGGATTAAAGGTTGTAGTACCTCCAAGATGAGTATCACCATTTGTTGCCAAGACCTCAAAGACTCCATTGTCAATGGTTAGGATACTAACATCGAATGTACCACCACCAAGGTCAAAGACAAGAATGTTCTTCTCACCACCTTTCTTATCAAGACCGTACGCAATGGCAGCAGCAGTTGGTTCGTTGATGATTCTAGCCACATTCAAGCCAGCAATTATGCCAGCGTCCTTTGTTGCTTGCCTTTGAGCATCATTAAAGTAAGCTGCAGCATAAAAATACCAGTTTAGATGAGGTTGCCTATCATCAAATGAGGAGGTTTAGTACTTATGCAGCAATATTTGATATTCCCACAATATTATTTACCTGGAACAGTCACAACAGCATCCTTGATTTTCTTCCCAAGGTATGCCTCAGCTGTCTCCTTCATCTTAGTCAGAATCATGGCACTGATCTCTTCGGGACTAAAGATCTTAGTTTCACCATCCTTGATCTTGACTTGGATATAAGGTTTACCATCTTTGTTCACAATCTTGTAAGGAACAAGCTTCATGTCTCGCTGTACTTCCTTGTCCTCAAACCTACAACAAGAAGCTTGAAATTGTTAATAAAGCGCATTTCCTGACGTAATTTAAGTAAGAAAGGAAAGGAAATGCTTAAGATATATTTAAAGAAGGGTTTATTAAAGTTACTTTCTTCCAATAAGTCTTTTGACATCAAAAATAGTTCTCTCGGGATTCACTGCAGCTTGGTTCTTGGCTGCCTCACCGATCAACCTTTCAGTGTCAGTGAAAGCCACCCATGAAGGAGTGATGCGGTTGCCCTGGTCATTTGCTATAATTTCGACATGACCATTCTTGTAGACACCAACACATGAGTAAGTTGTACCAAGATCAATACCAATGACTGTGCCCAACTTGGTGGCTTCCTCCTTTGCAATTGAAATTGCAAATAAGCAACCTGCAAAAACGGATGTCAAAACAAATATTCTTGCTTTAATTGTGTGTCAATTACATTCACAATGACGGAATTGTATTCCTATTTTTTATTGCATCTTAACCATGTGAATTAATTAGTATGCATCCAGGGTTTTATCACATCAATAATATGACAAACCTTATGCACATAATAACCAAGTTTTTATCATGATCCACACAAGTCAAGAATGATAATGGCTACAACTTGAACTAACATCTAAGTAATTTGAAAACATCTTATCACTGAGTAAGAGGAAGAATGCCAAAAATTAAGCTGGATATGCAAGGAATTGTTACAAATTGAAAATTTCATTAAAGTCAGAATGGGTAAATGATGCCACATAGAACAAACAGCATGAAAGAAACTTCCACTAACTTCAGTTTAAATAGGTTAAATTGCAATAGATATGCCAAATGATGGAACCAAACACGGATAAATGAGCGAACATGCACGTTATAGCATTTAGTACCGCTGAAGCAGCTACTTGCATTTGGAAGAACAATTGATTATATAAAATGCATCCAAAGATATTGCATCTTGATTCAACCATAATCTTCATTACTGATAATCACAGGGAATTGGTTACTAGAATACATCCAAAGAATTTGCAGCTTGATCCAATTATGCACAAGATTTTAGTGAATTTGATCACAAGGATAATCCTTAACTCTGATTGGATGACTATAGCTAAACAACAGAGCTAAATTTCATGCAAGCGTCATAACTGCACCCGTGGCATAGATAAATCATGTTGAGAACCACATATTATTTGTTTCATGCTTCAAATTTAAGCCTAACTGAGCATAAATGACAGTTTCCCTTAAATACAAAAAAAAAAAACATTTTAGAAAAATCAGTAGGGTTTCTTACTGGACCTTCATGGCTTCATTGATCGTTAGTAATTGACATTGTGAACAATAAACAGCCCTTACAAAATCTAGCAATCATCGCGAAATCCAGACTCCGCAACTCACCACTTGATCACGATTAATACAAAGATTACAAAACAAGTTACTGATGCCTCAACGACATCATCTGCACTAAAAGCAAATAAAACCAGCTACCGGAACTGACAGGAAAGCACAAGGATCCGACGACTTACGCTCTAGAAACACATCATGCCAACCACTAATCACAAAAAACGAAGCATGTAGAAGGTTCCCAAAAACTAGATGGTATGTTCAACTAGTCAGCAAAACAAAGTGATCTGCTCGCAAAACGTACCTGCAAGAAGAAGACCTAACACGACCCAATTGCGCATCGGCCGCGCCATCGCTCCGCTGGTACCCCCTCCTTCGATGAAAGCTCAGAGAGTCAGAGCCGAATAGACCAATAGATCCACGGAACTCTCTCGCTCTATATCCGAAATACTTCTCAGAACTCCCGATCACTTATTAGCTCCTAGAAGGGTCAGGCAGTCGGGCTCTATTTATATAGAAGCCGAGCAGGACGGATGACCGTTTTCGTCGAGGAGGCGACATGTCATCTTCGATTACGTGGACCAATAAAATTTCGATTAACACATCTTCCCTCCAATGATGGTTGATGCGGCGTTTGAGTGATCTGGATGGTCCATCATGAGTTCTTAAAGATCTGACGGTAGGAATGCCATGTAGCCGGGAGAGAATTCCAGACTTCCAGTGAACCAAAGCTATCGGCGTATTGGAGCTTAGGAAGAAAAGTAATTAAAAAGTAACAGATTTAAGCTTCGTTTGGGACGGCCTTTTTATTGCTTTCTAAAACAGAGTTTTAGTACAAATTTTTTTATTTTCGTACTAAAATTTCATTTTAGAAAGCAATAAAAAAATCGTCCCAAACGAAGCCTTATAATCAAATCAAGTAGAATAAATAAGCTTAGGAGATAATTTAAAAATGAGTAAAAAAAAAAACTATTTTCAGAATTAAAAAATGGGTGGAAGTGAGTAGAATGCAGGTTTTTGTATATATATATATATATTTTCGTTTTATTTATAAACTTTTATTTACATGAATTTCGTATTAAACTCATAAAATTTTGTACGTTAATTGTAAAAAGAAAAGACTAAATAAAGAATAAAAATTATATCAGCTTAAAATGAAATTTAGCATTGTGTAAAATTTTTATTTGACTAAGTAAAAATTATATATTATTTCTACAATTACTTTTACTATAGATATATTTTCATTCATAGTTTCATCACTTTCTGCATCAGTTTAGAATAAAATAATTATTCATGTGGTAATTAAAAAATATTAAGCATGTATATGTTATGATATATATTTGAATATTTATTAAACTATTAATTTAAATAATTATTATGTAACCCATAAGTTATTAAAATATATAATTTTTTATTAAAATATTTTTTATAAATAAACCGAAAAGTATATATAAAGAGCTTAAATTCAAAAAACGATTTTCCGTATTTTACAGGATGTGGAAAATGGTTTGCCGCATTCTATTGAATGTGAAAAATGGTTTAACCCATTCTATTGAATGTGGAAAATGATTTACCAAATGCATTAAACACTTCCACCAATTCTTTAATCTGGAAAATAGTTTTCCGCTTTTGCACCTTTTTAAAATTATCTCTTGTTTAGGAGATGATTTTTCTGAGAAGCCCTCTGTGTAGCGAATTTTTATTTGGTTCGGTTGACCGGATGCGAGAAGCATCCGGTCGGAGGACGTAATAATTGTTCCTGTGTCGCACCTCTTGTTTATATTTAAAAAGATTTGATTAGAAAGTATGAGAAATGACATTTTTATTAAATTTAAATAAAAAATTAATTCTTAATATGGTATAATGGAGAAAAAAAGATCCCTCTAAGTGGGATAAATACTTGATATTACTTTTGTTGTAGTTGTAAAATAGAATGTAAAAAGAGTGTTCAAGTTATTTAGATGAGTGCAAATTATGTATTTGTGATTATTTTTTATCTGTTTGATACAAAGCAAAATAAATGTAATGTAAAGCTTAACAATAGTGATAACGGTTGTTGTACGTCATCAGATGGTGGCAGTGGGCAATTGAGCATTGACTGGTGGTGAAAGTTGAGTCAACTTGCGATGCGATGTATTTGAATTTAGTTAAAAATGGATGAATTTTGAATACATAAAAATGAACAACATAGTGAATTAACAATTTACAAAAATTTCACTCTGTAATCCCACTTCATCCATCCAAACATAAAAATCCATAAAACTAATGCATTTAAAATACTTAATAAACACTTTTAGTCAAATAAAACATTCATAATTAAAAGAATCTTATATTTGTTGATCCTAGAACATTCACAATGGTAGAGAGATATAGAATTGAGAGTTCAAATTTTGTATGAAGATCCATCACACAACAAAACATCCACGACTAGTACTGGCGACGGAGGTTGGAGGGACTATAGTCGGCGGGCGGCAGAGCTTGCGAAGGAACACTTAGGCACAATCAAGTTAGGTACATGAGCTATGCCTAGTTAGATCTTGTTTAATATTGTCTTATCGCTCCACATCATAGCTTCATCGTTGCCATTTTGCCTGTATTATTGCTATCATCACTCATCCCTATTCGTGCTGCCATGATTGTTTTGTATCACAAGAAAGCTACACTTATTATAGATGTTGCAATAACAATTAAGTTTGATGCCACGATCATCATTGCTGAGACAATTAGAGTCGCCACCACAGTCATTATCAATGCTACAATCATCAAATCTTTTTTATTAGGATCATAAATGCCTTACAATTTCAGCATATGGTTTGAATCTTGGAACAATTAAAATAGACTAAGGCTTCGTTTGAGATAGCGTTCTTACTACTTCTTAAAGTAATTTTTTAGTATAAAAGATTTAATTTTTATACTAAATTGTTGCTTTAAGAAGCTGTAAGAAAGTGTCCCCAAACGAAGCCTAGTGCTTCATTCTTACTGCTTTCTAACTTCGCTTTCTAGAGAAAAAATTCCTAAATTAGATATTTTTTGTACTAAAAAAATGTTTTTGAAAGCAATAAGAAAATTGTCTCAAAAGAAACCTAAAATATCTATTAAAACTACTTTGCTATTTTATTTATAAGTCAACCATGCAATTAATGTAAAAATATTGTCGAAGGATCGTCTCACATAATGAATCCATTAACCAAAAATAATAACTCATTATCATAAATAATGCCACTTCAATTTAAAAATTTCTGTTAAATATTTGATTATTATTATTTTTTAATTTGAATAGATTTTTCTATTAAAAAAAATCCCTCCAAATCATGTATGATGAGCCCCTTAAATAAAAATAAAATAAAATAAAATTATAATTAATTATGATGATGATAAGATTTTGAAATTAACAAATGAGAAGTCTTATTGCTTGCCTTACATCATTCTCCTTGAACTCTTCATTGGCTGTGTTTGATCGATCACTGAGGCATATTTTAATAAGTAGTTCATTTGATAAAATTATAACTTTTTTGGAGCTGTTGTGGTTTCTATAGGACCGTATTTTATGAGTAGTTTATAATTAAAGATTGCACTTGATATATCAGCAAAAAATTATATTGATCAAGCATGAACCTCAATACAAATATGAATAAAAAACTTCTAAAATTAAATATGGGACAATCTTAGCTTCAATTTCAGCAAATTTATAGTCAAATTGAACATTCATAAGACTCCCAAGTGTATGCCTTGTGGTTTTTCTCCTTTTTAGAATTTTTCATATGAAAAACTCTGATGTCTCTTGTGAATTCTACACCCTCTCTTTTATATATATGTATGTTGGATCTTTGTTCAAAGTTTAGATATTAAGCTTTATATCTCTCTATTGCTGCAAATGTTATAGGACGCAACAATATTCATGAAGATGAATATTTCAATGTAGAAATAACATCTTATTATTATAATTTTTTTATGATCCAAAATTTTAGTTATAAATCTCCTCATAATTATTTATAAAATTTAGTATATATTATTTTATCACCTCTAAACCATTAGTGAATGTCACATCAATTCCATGGGAAGCAAATCTGGACTAGGGGCAACTTGGTTGCAGTCTCAAATACCATTATAATCGACAAGTCCCCTCAATATATTACATGGAATTTTACACCTTGGGCAATCTCATAGTCTCGACCTTAAAAAGACAGTAACGGTATAAAGATAGATCATTATTCACCTTTTATTTAGGTTATACGTGGCATTCACCCTCTCTCAATCATGACATAATCAATCCCAGGGGGATTCGATTAGACATCTTTCACACAAGTTAACGTCATCGAACAACGCTTTGACAAATAACCTCATATATGTCAAATATCCTTGGTGGATTCCATCGATATCTTCTACATAGTTTAACGCCATCGAGCAACGCTCTAACAAACAATCTCGGATATGTTAAACATCCTTGATGAATTCTCTTAACCTCTTCCCCATAAGTTTACATTATCTAGCGGCACTCTAATAAATAACCTCAAATATGTCTAACATTCTTAATGGATTCCCTCAACCTCTTCCTCATAGGTTAATGCAAATCAAGCAATATTTTGGCAAATAACCTTAGATAGGTCAAACATATTTGATGGATTCTCTCGACTTCTTTCACACATGTTAACATTATCAAATAATGCTATGACAAATAACCTAAAAAAGTCAAGTATTCTTGGCGGAGTATATCAACCTCTTCTTTACAATACTTTAAAGCATCTATTTCATCTTATTCAAGGAAATATCAGTGCCCTGATAAGCCTTTTTTTATTTGGCACTTTTCGTATGTTGCTAGACTACTACCATCAATGCACAACTGTGCACTTATATATCTAGATGTCCACTATTCACCTCCCATCAACATGGACGACTACTATGTAATAGAATACAACTCGACCACAACCATCATTGGTCCTTTGCCTGATGGCCATTCTCATCCCTTCACCAAATATAAGCCATCATCGGCCCCTCGCTCGACTACTATTCGCAACACACCTTCCAACTATAGCCATCAACCTATCACCAGAATGTCAATATTAGAATATCACCTAACCACCCCCGTTAAGCTCACATCAGCATACACTTGACTTCTTGTATTAAAGGATCAGTTTAAGATCATCAAATCACTTCCCAATCATCATTTATCGCCAAACTTCTGCTAGTCTGCTAACAGTCACCGATTCTCCTCCCGAGTGCTACTACCACCAGATCTTTAAATCATACTTCTATATAATAGGTGGTTGATTTTCTTTTTTTAGGGGAAATATGAGGGGATAGTAATCTCTCATCAATTTTCCTTATACAAAAAGAGTGTCACTCAAACTTGATAGGGGATATCACCTATCCAAAATAGTAGAATGTCTCTAATGTAAGAAGAAAAGAAGGACAAAATAGAGAAAATAGAGAAATAAGAAGAGGTGTGCTCTTCCCCTATCCCCCGGGTGTGTGTGTGTGTGTGTGTGGG